GGCGAGTGGCTCTGGACAGACATGAATGAAAAGCTTCTTGCACTGAGGACTGCGTCTATTTTCAAGCTTTTTTTCTTTTTTTTCCCAAGAAGACCATAATGAAAATTTTGAAATTCATTGTAAAGAGATTTCGGAAGCATTTTCCACTCTAACGTGAATTTGGGAATGTGGAAACTGGCTTGCCCTTTCCTCTCGCCCACAGGCTATTTCAGCTTCATCAAAACTGGGAGAGGGAGGAGTTAAAGTAGAAGAGGAACCTTAGAAATACTCATCCTTATGAGAGAGACAAGAATAAAATGTCATCTCTCAGCTCTGAAAAAGTTACCACATTGATTTCTGCTTCATAAGAATGAGGTTAAGTTGAATGCATTAAGCTGGCAAACTGGATAATTGCATGTCCTGAAACTGTCTTCGAAACAGCTCTTTTCACAGCGGTGCTCAGAAAATAACTTCATCAATAAGGCTCCTGCCCACGGAAGCCGCGCACTGCTCTGGCTCAGCACTGAAGCCTGCCTTTCCCCACAAAGAYTTTTGCCTCATTTTGCCTCAAAGCAGTGGGCAAAGCAAGGCAGCCTTGCACCGCACTAGCCGACAAGAAAAGAGGGTGAGAACGGACCCATYCCCAGGGCAGGGGTGTTTCATGGCCTTATCCGGGCCAAGTTCCTGCTCTGTTGATATGCCCTACAGATTTGGCGCGTTCCTCCCCAACCCTGTCCTGTTAAATAGGAAAAGGGAGGTGAGGAGGCATCTGCAGCCCATTCCTGCTGCACCAGGCGCAGGGGGCAGCTYGGGGGACGTTGCCTCCCTGGAGCAGATCCCAGACAATGGTTTTCCCTGGCTGCCACCCTGTCCCCRCGTGGAGCCCTCCTGCTGACGCAGGCGCATTAGGCAGTGCAAGGAGGTGACTGTAAAACCCCCCGGCTTCTTCCTTTCTCTGCCACGCAGCTACTCAAATATTTGCCTTGCTCCTTATAATTCATWACAGCCCATTTTTTTACGCTGCTGCCTTTGAAACTGCATACATTCGCTGCCCAGGCGCAGGGCTGAGGTCGCACGGCAGCAGCAGAGCCGGAGCTCCCTCACGAGCAGGGGTTTTCAGGGATGCACACGGGGCTCCTCGCGGAACGGAGACGGCTGTGCCACTCGGCTGCAGGAGCTGTGCCTAACGTCCCCATTCCAGGAGCCAGGTGAGCGTGGAGCCTAAAACTGCATCCCTGGCTACCAGCCACTTTAACTTAAGGAAGGCTACAAATAGCTCAGAAGGATCCAAGGGAATTAGCTGTTCACATCTAAATGAAAATCACCTGGGAGTTGCATTCTTAGGGGCTTTGCAATCTCCCCTGTTTTTATCAGACAGCCTCCTATCCTTGGCAGCAAGTGGTCTGAATCTCCTTAGAAGTGACGTCACCTTTCGGATGTGACGTCATCTTTCAGCTGACATCATCTGTGGCCAGGCGCGACCCTGCCAAGACGCATCTCCCTCACTGCAAAGCTCCTGTGCAAYGGGGGAAGAGGGCGGCGCTCAGGAGCCTTTTCAAGTTTTCCTTTAAGTAGCACTCTGAAAATCGCCAAATTGTCCTYTCCATCAGGGTTCAGTGCCTAAAATAAAAAAATGTAACTTTTTTCCAACAAAAAATGGGAAACATCCCTCGCTGGGGGTCATGATCTCTCATTCTGATAACTATTAAAACCAGTCAAATCCTTTCCTTACCCCCATATTCCTTCACATACACAGATTTTAAAATCAAAATGTTTTGGTTAGCTTAGCCCATTTGTTGTTTGGAAACAGATTTATGGGGTAGCATTTTACTGTCGTCCTAATAAATGCTCCTTGATTGCAAGTCACAATGGTCTGAGCTTAAATACAGGTTACTGCATTCTGGCACCAAACCATGTGATAGATGCTGCAAAAAAAATAGGGAAAGCTCAGCAAATTGGTCTTAGAAAACAATTGTTTCAATCAATTTTGCCTRTAAAACCTTAACGGGATTTTTTTGCTCAACGCTCACGATCTGAGCTGCCTTGATTCATTTCGATGGGATATATGGGCTACATGGCATTATTCTGCTTTTATTATTTCTGCTGGCTGACCTTGGAGCGGCTTTGGAGGATGTACCCGCTCGGTCTGCCTTTTCCCGAACATCCTCTCCGAGGGAGCGCTGTGCCAGCCCAGCTCCCGGCTCGGCGTGTGCCCAGCCTGACGTGCTCAGGAGGCACCACCTGGGGACAGTTCAGACGGGTCACGGTGCCGTGCCAGCCTCAATAAGTCAAGCTTTACTACACCTTGCTGCATAGCAAGCAAGCTCCCTGCTGCAGGGTGGACACGGGTAGACACTTCCCAAAGATCCTATTTTATATTCTGTCCTACTGGTAAATTCATTCGTTAGACCACTCATGCAAAATGGATAATGCAAATGGAACCGCTACATTTGGAATTAAGCTTATTTTTGTACGGCAGAGAGTATTAGCACGCTGGGTTGTTTTCTTCTTGTTGTTGTTCTTTCGGGTGTTCACCCGGCTGTAGAGCCCAGAGCCCTCGTTTGAGAGGTAGGGAGGGTGTCCCGGGGCACCACGGGCTGCCGAGCCCGCAGGACAGAGCAGTGCCTCACAGCTCTGCAGCCTGGCAGGAGGCTGCTCTCCGCTCACCGCAGGGCGAGTGATAAATTCCTGCAGAGCATGGACAATTGCGGGGGAAGGAACGGAGAGGCTCGCTGTGGACTCACCAAGTGACCACATGCCCCTGCACTCACTCGGAGTGACACTAAGGTGCAGGTGAAAGGCCCATGGGGAGGCAGGGAGCMCGGGGCCTGCGGGACGTCTCTGCCTGCGTGGGATGCCCCTCTGCTCCTCGCAGGTCCCCGCAGCAGTTGCAGGCAGGAGCTGAGTTCCCCCTGGCAGCAGGGACTGCTGCAGCAGAAGTCGCTGCGGAGGCTCCATCCTGGTGAGCTGGGCTGCTCTCTGCAGCAGAACCTCCCTCTCTGAGCGCTCCAGCGTCCTGCATTAAGCTCAGACCGYGGAAGAGCCGCCCCTGACCCTTCCACACGTGCTCTTCGGCCAGCCTGCCCTGCTCAGATGGCTTTTCTTCAGTTCACCTACTCATTTGTGAAGGTCCTGAGGGAGGACGATMCCCCCCAGCAGATGGGACATGCAGTGGGATGGGGGGGGAACAAAGCAGAATATATAAAGGCCTCCCTTCAGCAACATCTTCTCCCAACAGTCAGTTTTCGCTCTGCACAGCAACCTGCCCTTCACAAACACTCTGGACAAGCCCAGGCCAATCCTGCTCCATCCTGCAGGAATTAACACTTCCAAATCATCACTGTGAATTGTGTCACCGATCAGCGCAGTGAGGAAAAGCCAAATGTGAACTTGGTGTCCATGGGTAGACACTTCAGAGGGAGAGGAAGACAAAACAACCAGCGGGGCTCCACTGAGCTCCACAGATAATTCGTGTACAGAGACAGAATCACAGAATCATTAAGGCTGGAGAGGAGCTTCGAAAGTGCTTCTCGCCCTGCCTGCCKGCTGCTTTGAGGCAGGCCCGTGCCAGAGACAGGGGTGGCCCCTTCTCTCTGCCTACCCCCCAAGGGCACAAACCTCCTTGCTTCCTTCTCCTTCTGGGAAACTGGTACCTGGGTCAAGCCCTGTTTGGAAAACAGGCCTCTCAGGTTTGCTGGGCTCTGCAGGGAGGCTGCCCTGTCTCCAGCTGCAAGTCAGCACCATCTGCCCACGGCACTCGCAGCACCACGTCACCCCGTGGAGCCTCTTCTGCAGGTGGCTCCAGGGAGCACCCGGGTGCACAGACCCTGGTGCCCACAGGCACCTGAGAAAGGGTCCCAGCACATCCGAAAGGGTCCCAGCACGTCCCAGCTGGAGCATGAGACTGGAATCGCAAAGAGCTGCTCACTGGGACTGCACGGGAAGCTACACAGGGAAAGGGCGCTCATGTGCCTTTGTTTGATTATTTTGTAAAACAAATTCATTGCCATCAACAGCAAATGTACTTAACTGCTCTACAGTCTCCTTATGGGAAGGCAGCAAGGAGCTGAGCCGAGTGCTGGGCTCTGCTCCGCYGCCGCTCCCTGTGAGCCAGCACCAAGGAGGCCCAAGGTTCAAGGGCAGCCCCAGCCACCAGCTGCCCCTTCCTGAGCACCCCCCTCTTAGGCACCGCAGCAGCGACGCACTGGGGACAGCACAACAGCCTGGAGATGTTTCACTGCTCAGCTCCATGTCTCACTTAGGGAGTCACGCGGGGAACACACTTCCCGTCGTGTCTCTCCTCCTGCCCGTCTCCTCTACGAAGCAAATGACCTGCTGTTATGTGGAACAGTCACAATTTAGAATGACACGGAGCTGAAGGCTGGAATGTGCACAGTAGGTACCAGTGTGCTGCCTCAGTCCACGGTGCTGTGAGGGAGAAAGAGCCCCGCTCTGCCATGAATTAGTGCTCAGGCAGCCTGGGGTCACCTATCCATGGCTTGCATGGCTGCTTTCCCTTAACACGCCTGGGAGCACACTCGGCTTTAGATCATGCTGCACGTTAGGCCGAGCTCCAAAGCAGGGGAGAAAGACTGGGGAGGAAGATGAAGCTGTCTCAGCCAGCTTTCCTTGTCCTGCAAATATGCTCCTGATGTGAACAAGGCTGCAGAAAACACTCGATCTGCTTTGGAGAGCACTAAGATTGGAAAAACTAACCCATTGTTTTTGTTCTATTGCTGCACAACTTCCCGCTCCTTCAGGGGATCCCTCTGTTCTTACTCACCTCTCACACCTCAGCATCACCYGCATTGCATAACGACCCTGAAGGAGACAGCAGAGCCTCAAGTGACTAGACAACAAGCACTGAAGGCCCTCTTGGGAAGCGACTAAAAGCCAAGCATTACTCTCAAGACATGCTGCTTTAGCATCCACAGGGAGAAAGCAGGAGAATGGGTCTTTCAGTGAGGGGAGGGAGGTGGAGAAGCGATTAGGGATGGCYGTGCAGCACAGGCCCTGCTCACCTCCTCCCACTGGTGGATGTAGCGGATGAGGCGGGAGAGCCGCAGGAGCCGCAGGAGGCTGAGGATCTTGGTGAAGCGCACGATGCGCAGGGCCCGCGCCGTCTTGTACACCTCGGAATCAATGCGGGTCTCCACGATCAGGAAGATGTAGTCCACAGGGATGGAGGAGATAAAATCCACCACAAACCAGCTCTTCAGGTACTTCATCTTGATCCTCTGTGGGTCAAGGATGATCTCTGTGTTGTCCTCCACCACAATGCCTGTCCGGAAGTTGAGGACAAGGTCAATGAGGAAGAACGTGTCTGACACCACATTGAAGACAATCCATGGCGTGGTGTTTTCATCCTTGAAGAACGTGATGCCCACAGGTATGATGATCAGGTTCCCTACCATCAGCAGAAGCATGGTGAGATCCCAGTAAAACCTGGACAGCAAGACAGAGACACGTGAGATTAGCCAGAGTGGGAGAAGAGGGAGTCAAGCTCAAGGGAACTGATCTGCTTTATGCTTCTCTATAGCCACTCCTTCCCTAGCTGTGCTGGTCTGCCACAGGTATTCCCAGTGCACAAGCTGCTAACGTAATTAAGTGCTTAATATCACAGGGACACTCACATTCACTTCTCAATGTGACTATCACTCCATTCCTCACTCATACTCTGTCTCGGTGAGTACAGAGAAGAATCAGGTGCAGGACTGGACACAGTCACATTAAACTCTGACTGGGAGTTCAGGGCAACTCGAGGAGACACTTAAGTATTTATACATGTGACAAGGACAACACAGCTACCACAGTGAGTCTTATGAAAAGACAGAACAGGTTTTTGGAAGGGCGCAAAGTTAGTGTGCCAGAATAGCCACTTGTTCCCACTATCTGGCTTGCTGAGGCAACACTGCCCTGAACTTGGACTTTAGGAGTGTGGTCGTCACTCTGTAGACTTCCACGCCATGCAGAAATGACCCATGAAGCCCACAGTCAAGCACACGTTTCATTTGAAAAGCAAGCACAGACAACATCTCACTACTGGGCCATGAAAACACAGTCTCCAAGAGGTTTATATTCTCTTCATGGGCAGGTCAATATTATTCTGTGGCCCTTACAAGTACATTAATTTTGATTGTTGAAGGGACACACAGTCTGTGTATAGGCCCTTATTAATTAATTTTATTTATTTATTTGTAAAGTTTTCCGCAGGTCTTAGTGCAAAAGTCATGCAATCATGTGATGTTGCAGCAACGCTCCCAGAGTGAGGACTGAAAGCTCTTCTGGGTTTCCTGTTTTGCTGAGGACTTTCACAAGGCGGCCCCGTTGCCTGGCACAGCAGAGCTCCAGTCCCCTCCAGATGTTTCCCAGATGGAGATGCCAACACACTGTAGTTTTATACTACCAAGCCTTCATCGTTTCTACTTTGTAGGCTACAGGGCAATTACTCTTACACCACGAGATATCATAAATAATTTAAATTACGATGCACTTGTCACGGCAAATGAACAAACTAAAGAGCAACTCATTATTTGCTTTGGTTGCTTAAACCTCAAGATGCAACACTCAGAAAACTGCAGTGGTTCCAGTCAGTCAAACAACCCTATAGGGGTTTTATCCTTCTCACCCGCCCGGGCAGCACAGAGGCCTACAGGGCACAAAGGAGGTGACAGCAATTAGCAGGAGCAGAGGACGGGAGCACGGGGAGCCCGTGCCCTCCTCGTGCCCAGAGCCCTCTCCGGCTGTGAAGCCAGCGGCGCTGCTGGGGCCGCGGTGACGCTCGGAAGGCACCCGGAGCGTCCGCCCAGGGAGGACTCCAAGTGTGGCTGYCTGCCCAACACAGGACAGCAGGATCATGGAAACGCTCCAGGGCAAACGGAGGTGCTCAAAGCCTGGACTTGGTCAGAAGGGATCAGCCATGGAGCAGACCCTGGACCYGTGCTTTGGAGCAGACCCTGAGCACCTGCAGAACAAGATGACGTTAGTGAGGTCCATGGCACGACAACCAGTCAGGTCAAATAAGGATGTGGCTTCTCATCCTAAGCTTGTTGAGCTCAGAAAAGCAAACTAGAAAGGGCAGAATGTGCCTCAAAAGCCCTCCCTGTAGAGGTTCTCTCTCCCTCATAAGAACAAACTTATAARTTCATAAGAACTTTGAAGGGTCTCGAAGGCATATTTAAGAACCCAACTATCACAAGGTCCCAAATCAGCCCACCTAGAGCTTTCAGAAACAGCCAGCAGGGGCTGAGGGCAACTGCCTTCAACAGGAGCACAGCTGGCCACCAACAATGTTTCTAGGAACGGCACCAGCTGCCACTGTCTGGCTTTCCAGGTGTCCCTGTGGACAAGATACCCCCGGCCCTTCGGGGCAAGAGGGCGCTGGGTGCTGCTAGACACCCAGCAGTGAGGTTGGGCCATGCGTTTCTAAGAGCAGGGCCACGCAGTCCAGCAAGACGTCGTACAGTAAGAAGTATAAATCTAAACTGTGGTTTTCCTCACTAAGGGCCTGAGATGACACTGCAGCTTTCCTAGGCAATTAATCTCGGTAATGGCACAAGAGCGGGAAGCCTGGAAGCAGTGAGTGCATTACTGCCCGAGGTGAATACCCTCCAGACTGTCATACCACAGCCAGTTGTCTGGCATCCCCATCTACAGCATTTCTTGCTATTCCAGCTCGGGGATCCTCCAAGTCATTTCCCAGAGGCTTTGCAGCTTCCAGTGACAGTCTACTGCCGGCTGTCCACCGAGAGTCAAGGTTTGCAATGGGGACAAGCAGAGAGGAGGTGTTAAAATTCACCTCTTACACATGTTTCTTAAAGCACAGTTTCCCTCAGGAGTCTGCTAGACATTTGAATATTGTCACTGACTTCCTTTGCTTTAGATACTTAGACGCTTTCACTTACAAGCCAGAGATGCTAATAAACCTTTGTATCCACTGCTCTAATAAAAGGGCATCCAAAGTGACAGGGAGGAGACAATACTCAACCTCTAGGAAATAAGTCAAAAAAGCCGAAAATCACCAAGAATTCGGCCTATGCACTTCCCCAGTAGAGCAAACCCACGTGGGACTGAAGGTAGGCTCCCCTGAAATCAAAACTTAACTGGAGGGTCCCACTGCTCCTGCACATTTTAATGCTGCTGGCAGGTTAAGTGCAATGTGCTCAGGGTGCATTCAGAGCAGACAGACTCTCCGGGTGTGCAACACCACAGAGGTCTGATACCAGCCATGTGTCATTTTGTATTTACRTGAGGAACATCTTCTCACTCCCGGTAAATTATTGGCCAGAGTGAGCAACGGTTCATGTGATGTATGTAAGGGCGAGTACTGGCTATTAATAACCTGTGTTTTCTGCATTTCTGCTGTTCCTTTCACCCAGGGATTGCACGGAGCTGACAGTGATGAAACTGGCTCCCCGGCACCCACGAGAGGCAGACGGAGCTGTTATCCCTGTCTTACAGCTACAGAAGTCACATGGCGGAGTGGAGARCATGGGATCTGCCCACCTCAGTCCAAGGCGAAACAAACATTAGGATCTGAACTTGATCCTTGAGTCAGAGCAAACCTGGAACTTGTCGTCTGGCTCGAACAAGAGTCTAGCAGGTATCTGGYTCACAGACATCTCCCTCTGATGTCCTGTCTTGCCTCTCACGCTTCTCTTCCTGTTTTCAAACCAAATAAACAATTAATAATTAYGAATGTACAGCTTCATTGTAGTTGATGTTGGGAGCAGCTCACAGCACAGAACAGCCAGCACTGGATCACCCAGGCACCCTGCTCTACCATCCGTGCTTTCACACCACATTCGCACCCTGCGCACACTTTGTAGGGCTGAAGATCTCGGTGTCACCTGCACCTCTGCCTCTGAGCTGCTAATTCCTGATGCATCACTGAGCCATAAAGGACTGCGAGCTAGGCACGGCAGAGACACTGCATGGCAATGTGTGCTTATAACGCTAGGTCCATCTGATCACATGGCCACTTCATAGGCACTAATTTGTGGTTTTGGCCAAAAAGTTCCATCAGCTTTTGGCTCTAACACGTAACATAACAACAGGCTGGGAACGCTGCTTTCAGATGTCTTTCCTTTATTAAACAAACGTTGCTTTTTCAAAAATCTTGGTGCAGTAAAACYATTTAGAGTGCAGGAGCTCAGGAGGCYGCGTGATGGCTGGACTGAAAACACRGGCGGGCYGAGGCYGGGCTGGTCGGCGCCCCTGTGTCACTGGGGCATTCAATGTCCCCGAGCGCGGCGCATTTGTGGCCTTAACGTCTGTCCTCCTTGCTTGGCAGTGTTTGCACTGCAGAGAGAGAACAGAGTGCAGCMAGCTCCCCGCTAGGCTGACAGAGCTCGCTGGGTGCCTTCGGCTCCTGCGGATTAAGAGTGTGGAGCTGTGCGAGTGCGCACGGAGAGGACGCAAAGGGAGAAACGCCACTCGCTCCCCTGGCTCGCTTTGCACGGCCGCTTCTATGGACTCGTGCTCAGTCTTTGAGAAGGTTTTCTTGAATTCAGCTGTCAGTTTGACTCGAGACCAGCTATTTGCTACAGTCTGTATTTAGTCTTTTGCTTCGATTATCTGCAGTCTACATAACTGCTCACCTAATCCCCTCTGAACAGGGCTGACTTCTGTGCTGTGTTTGCAGTTTAACGCATATGCTCGCATTATTCTTTAAAAACACATAATACATCCACCAAATGTGGTGAGTGGAAAATTAGTGAAGCCAGCAGTTATGTAAGAGYTGGCAGTGGCACTTGCACCCAGGCAAGGCAGCACGTGGGCTCCCATGGCTGCTGCTGCCCCTTTTTTAACCTAACATCACGTTAGTGACCACCGATCRACACCAGGCCCTTCGCAAAGCAACATCTGGGCATTAACGAGCCCAAGAGATGCCAATAAGGAGGCGCTGTCGTCCTGTCTTGCATGTAGGGAGACTTTGAGATGCAAAAGATTTCAGTGACTTCATTGGAGGCCGGACAAACCAGAAAACGTGAATTCCTACTTCCCAAAGCRATTCCCAGCCAGGCTCTGTACCGTAATTTGAGCAGCAGCACAGAGGGGAAAATTTCCATTCTCTTTCACTGTAAAAATGTAAATACACACCTCATATGGTGATATTCTCATTCCAACTGTAATACCTGACAATTTGCAAGCCACACAGCCGAGGCATTGATGCATTCACCCTACTATATCAGAGCACATTATGATTTATGCCCTTTCTTTAACTTAGATTAGGGAATGCCCAGGAGCAATCCGAGGCCCTTTAATCGGTCAGTTCACTGACATTGCCTAGGATTCACCCACTCTGCTTGCAGCCTTCTTAGAGAGAGGAAGGTTTGCAGCACAGAGACGTTCACAGGCAGCAACCGAGGCTACTAAGGGAGACCTTCCTTGCCAGGATGGTGCCTATCCACAACACGGTATCCCCAGCCCACGGCGTGGGCGCC